ATCTGAAACAAACAAACGACCCACCCCAGGCACTGATGGGCTCTGCAAATGCCATTTTGAAGAGCTCGGGATGCTTCAGGGGGGTGGTTAGAGAGCTGGAAGCTCTGCCTTCAGAGAAGGATATAGACTGAAGAGAAGGATATAGACCTATCTGGATGATACATGGATAAGCAATAGCCTCACTATTTTCATTTGAGAAAAGTTCCTATTCATACTTTCTGACATTTCCTCTTATGTTTAAAAAGAGATTTCAACCCTCTGACCCTGCAGCCATTACTCATCCCTGCCCTGATTTCACCCAATACCCAAAGGGTACAACTGTTGGCCCCAGAAACAGTTTCAGTTTCAAATTTCTTTGTTGTTAGAGCCAAAAAAAACCCCAAAACCACCCACCCCTCCCAAACTTAAGTTTCCCTGGTTTGGGTTCTAAATCTTTCTGTGGAAAGATTTTTTTGTGTGTGAAAGTTTCCAAATCTGTTGTCCCTCCCTCCTCCTTTCTTGCTTCTCCTTTTGTTCTCGGTATTTTCTCCTGTTCTGGTTCTTCGCTCACTACAGTAGACAGCTTTCAGAAGTCTTGCTCAACTTCTGACTCCCACTTTGAGAACAGCCTGTCTGCACCTCTCCTGTCACTCGCATATTTCTCTCTCTCAGTTGAGAACAGCGATGGAGGTCATTTACAAATGGAGTAGAGGGTAAGAAGCTACAAAGGAAAGGAATCGTGGAGCAGATGGGTCCAGAGGAGCCAAGTCCAAAGATCACAGGACGCCAGAGAGGGGACAGGAGCTGCCTTTTTGCCTAATGGGACCTCAGTTCTAGTCCTCTGGGAGACCTTGCTGTGCTTCTGGCCCTAGGGCTCCATAAATTACTCTTGTCTCCTCCCAATTAAACCCCCCCCTTTTGGCTTTAGTTGAAGAAGCTTTGGTTTCCCATATTTTCTGAGTGGAAGGAAGTCCTACTCCTGAGCTACAGGCTTGGGTATTCTCCTTCCTCTACACACACCCACAATACCTCTTCTAAAGCTGATGCTCTTGGGTCTGCAGACATCTCTAAACTACCAAGTTTCTTTCTTTTCTAAAGGAAATATGAAGAAGCCGTTTAACAAACTGGGTAAGATTATGAGCTCCGGGGTCACTCTGCCTGGCTCTCAAACCTTTCTGTGCTTCAGTTTCCTCGTGGGTGAATAGGAAGAAAACATGTACCTACCTTGGGTTTAGGGGAGAACTGAGTGAGGTCATGCATGTAAAGCTCTTCGAACAATGCTGAACACATTGTAAACCAGCATTTAGATGCTGCTGCTGCTGCTGCTGTTATTGCTATTTATAGCAACATATGCCTACCTGGTTTTCCGTAACATTTTTAATATGTGCATCTCAGAACACCTTCACTTTATTCCAGTGGGGGTGATTGCATAACTTCCTGCTCCTAATAGTAAATCCCACAGACCTGGAATTTTTCAGGCCTGTTTGACTACAGAGTCTGTGCTTATTCCGTCAACAGTTCCCCAGTTTTACTACATACAGCTCAGACCCACAGACACTGAACCAGATCCTTCCAAAATGGGATTTGGAATTATTGGCTTTAATAAAACAAACAAATAAACAAAACCCTCCACAGCGAATTCTACTGGATCAGGTCATGGGATCAGTTAGTAACTACTGAAGATTATGTTATTATATCCTAACTTCATTGTAAAAGGGTTACAGTAAATTCCTATTTTATAGGATTGCTAATAGTGATAGCTAATATCTAGTGAATCTTTAGTATATGTCAGGCAATGAGCTATTACATTCCCTCATGTAACTTTCATATTAACCCTGTGAAATAGATACTAGGCTATCCCCAATTTACAGATGAAGAAACTGAGGTACAAAGGTTAAACAACATGATAAAAGTCATGTAGCCAACAAGCGTTGCAAGGAAGTATTTCAACTGTTGGGTTAATATGAGGATCACATTAATAAGGTACTTAAATAATTGGCTTACAGTTGGTATTCAATCTGAAGGCACTGCCTTAAGGTTCTGCACATGCCCAGTGAGTTTCAGATGGCTTTGACCTTAACAGTGCTCAGAGAATTAAGTTTCTGGAGGGTAGAACATGAAAGGGAAGGAGGCACCAGTGGAAGGTTTCGGTCTTTGGAGTCTCCAACAAAGGAAACTCTAATTCCATATGGAAGGATAGGTGCACACAAGGAGCATTAGTGGCTGGCCACTCAAAGGAGGAAAAGACAAGGTGGTTTTCGCTAAAAGAGGAAACCAGTGGATGAGAATAGAATGACATTATCTCAGGGAGCCTGGGACCATCCCTTATTCTACCACATGGCCATCCAATTCTTGTTTGGACCCTTTCTGTGACAAGAAACTCATAATTTACCAGAGTGGAGGAGGCTGTAGTTACTCGCAAAATGTCGGTTCATTTTGGCATTTACTTCTATGATTCCCTCCCCACCCTTAAAAGCCCAATGAACAAGTCTAATTTTTTTTTCTAATTTACAGCTCTTAAAATACATGAAGTCAGTTACCTTGTACCCTCCTGAAGCAAAACCTGCTTCCTTCATTCTTTCTTGACTCTATTTACATCCTAGTTCCTTTCTTTGTGTAGGTAAAGTTTGCCTTTGCCAAGCCTTAATTGCCGACAGAACTCCACACCACTGCTGACAAGCACTGGGCGCTCTAATACACATTACCTTATTTAGCAGAATTCTTTTGATGCCGTCTCATTCAGTTTGACAGCCAAAACTCTCTGTGGACTCAGATTAAGTCACCTGCTGCTTGAGACCCAATAGCCTTGCTCATGCACATTATCTTTCGAAGAAACTTCTGAACCTCGTGTACCACCAACAGTTAGGTTTACAGGGCAGGACCTCACTTTTGTTCCTGTTAGAGCCAACCCATTGCTCCAATACTGGATTCATCTTATGCTATACAGTGATATCTCTTTCCCTCCAAGCTGTGTGCTGTCTGAAAATGGGATGCAAATCATCCGGATTTGAATGATAGCTCTTCCATCTACCATGTGATCTTGAGCCAGCTAGTTAAGCTCCGGGTTTCAGTTTCTTCACCTGTAAGATGGGGTGACCAAACCTTCCTTGCAAAGTGATTTTGTGAATTCAGGGAAAAAATGCAGAGAAAGCCCTCTGCACAGTGCCTGGCACACAATGGATGTATGAATGTTGTTTCCTTCCACCCTTCCTCCAGGTCAACAAGGATTTTTAGGTTATGGTGACTTAATCATTATTAATCCAATTATACTAGGGTCAAGCTCTCATTTCTTAATCCACGATATGTTGTCAAGTGCATTTATGTAAGTCCCATGTACATAAAGTGGTCGCCTCATGAATGGGACAGAGACAGGCACCAAGCAAGATTCCACCTGCATGTGAATTCAAGAGTAGTAAGCTCCCAATAAAGGACATTGACCTTGAAAACAGTCAGTATCCATCAATAAGCACTTTTGGGCAATCACTCTGCTACCTGAAATGCGTTGAGGATGGAGGGGCCAACGAGTTTACAATTTAGATGTAGTCTCTGTTCATAGAATCCTGGTTGGCATTTTGGGTTATGCAGTGGGCTGCTAACTGCAAGGTCAGCGGTTTGAACTCCCCTATGAGGAGAAAGGTGAGGCTTTCTATTCCATAAAAATGTATAGCCTCAGAGACCCAGAGGGCAGGTAGTTCTACTCTGTTCTATAGGGCCTCTATGAGTCGGGATAAACTCTAGAGCAGTGCTTTGTTTTATTTTAATTTATGTGTGTTCAAGGAATTGACCAGCGATAGAACTGTGGAGTTATAAGAGGTAGTCTGAGTCACAGAATTAGGTCAAGGGACATAATTCCACTCGTGCATACATCCAGAACATTTCCCAAGTATCTGCCACGCGCCAAGACTCCCTCACCTCATCCCTCTGTCCACTCCACTAGGAGTTAAAAGGGCTAAGGAAAAACAAGACACCTTCCTTGCAAAGGACTTGTGATGCAAAGATAAGATTATCTGTTTCCTCAGTACCCCAGCAGCATCTTATTGTGGAATTCTTTTCTGTCCTTGCCTGTTGGGTCTCGCTCTCTACACTGCTTTTTGCTGCAGAAATCATGGCCACTGGGACCGGATCTGTTACACAGTAGGTGGTCAAAACCTGACTGCTGGAACAAAATGCAAACTAATTGCCCCTTGGTTTAATTTTCTGCCCTGAACGGCGAGAAGGACAGCTCTGACGAGAACGACGGCTCCAGTAGAACGCTCGGAGGTCAAGACGAACGCAGAGGAACGCACGAACTCTAGCAGTTCTCGGGTGGAAAAGGCTGCTCAGAAGTACTAAGTATTCGTCCTCTCGTTTGCACTTTGGCAAACCCGAGCGTTTTAGGAAAGGCCTGGCATGCTGGGTACCCAAAATTGGTTTCCTAGATGGAGCTGGAGGAAGGGAGGTGGGGGTGCGAAAAATGCGCTTTCAGTGCGCGGGGTGAACTTGAGAAAGAAGGTAAGAACCGGGAGCCAGACGCAAGGAAGGGACCGAGGTAAGGGGCCACCCCAGACGACCGCACTGCACCCGCAGTGGTCACGGCGAGAGGGAGACCTGAGGGGTAACCGGACAGGCCACGGACGGGGAAACCGGAGAGGACGCGCAGATTGGCCGTCTCCTCGGGGCGTGCGTTCCAGTGCGCGGAGTGATTGGTGGCGGGAAAGTTGCAGGTTAACCGGCCCCCGCCGCTTCTCTATTGGCCGGCGGCTTCTGTAACTGCCACCCAACTGGCTGGCGGGTCGTCCAGCCGCGCGCTGATTGGCCGGTGGCGACCGCCGAGACGGGCTCCCTTCGGACGCTCCGATTGGTTGGCGGGAAGAGGCAGGTATCCGGGCCCCGCGGCTCCTCCATTGGTGGGCGGGGAAAGGGGGGTTGGGCACAGCGATTGGTGGGCGGGGGGCCGGGCCTGGGCCGGCGGGGAGCGGATTGGTCGGAAAGTAGGTTAGTGGTGCGACATTTAGGGAAGGCAGAAAGTAGGTCAGGGACGGAGGTGCCTGTTTACCCGCGCCGGACTCACCGCCGCTGCCGCCGCGGGATCCGAGTGGGGGCGCGGGCGCAGGCGCTCCCAGCGAGCCAGGGTGAGTGTCGGGCGGGCTGCGTCCAGCGCGCGGCCCCTGGCACCCCGTCGGGGGCCGTTACCATTCTGTCAGGCGCGGCGCCCCCGCCGCCGCCCGGGGCGCAGCCAGCTGCCGGGGAACCCTGCCCGACGTGCTCGCTGCCGGCCTTAAAGGGCCCGTGCCCGCTCCCTGCCCCCACCCGTGTTGCGGGTTGGCTGCGCCCCTTAAAGGCGCCGCGCCCGTCCGCCCCCATCCTTCCCCGCGGGGGTTGGCTCTGCTGGGTAGGGCGGGCAGAGGTGCCTCAGGCGCCCTTAAAGGGACCGGGAGAGTGTCCTCGGTAGTACCCACCGCCGCCCAGGCATCTTTAGCTGACTAGAGGAGGGGGCATCCAGCTGTTTCTTAAAGGGACAGCTCCGCCCGGTGGAAGCTATGACCCAGCCGAGTGACTGGTCTTAGGATGTTTCTCTCGGGGCTGCGAGGACTCCTGCGGGGACTATCCTTGGCAACTGCACCCCAAGGGCGTTGGGTTAGCAATGCAGCGCCCTCCCTCTCATCTCTACTTCCCACTCGGGAGCCCGCTGGGCTGAGTGGGGGTGGGGAGGGCATCTCGGTGGGACGTGAGCCTGTCTGCCCGTCTGTCTGGTGGCTTGCCCCGGGGCTGCACGCTACTCGGTAACCCCAGCCCCAGTCACTTTGGTCTGTGCCGTCTGGAATCTGGGCCTCCCGGGGAGGATCCCCGGTGGGTTTGTGAACAGGTGTCCGACAGCGCGGGGATGCTGGTTGGCGCCCCGGTGCGGGCTGGTCCCAGTCCCGGAGTCCCGCGGATGATTGGGAGCCGGCTCAAGCTTCTGGTTTGACAGGTGTCAGGGGAGGCTTCCACGCGGGCCTTGACAGCCAAAAGAGCTCCCTTTGCTGGGAGCGAGAAACGGGAGAATGAAATTAATGCAGCCCTGACGGTGGGGCACGGGTCAGCTACCCCGAAGGGGACTAGAGCCGGCTGCCGGGCACTCACGCGGGAGCCAGAAGCCAGGCGCCCAGGGCGGAAGGGTTGCGCTGGACATCGGTTTCTGCTGTCAAGTTTGTGCTTGGGAGTTAACCTGGCTCCGGTGCCTCACCCTAACGCCCCTCCCCTCTCGGCCTCCTCTTCCTTACCCTTTCCCTTAAGTCACCTAGGGTTACTTTGGCACTCAGGGACCCTCAGCCCCACCTCCCTTCTTAAATTGATCCTCCTCAGTAGGCAATCAACTGGCCAAGTGTTCTCTCGCACCCAACCTCCAAAAATCAGATTCGCGATTTATGAAGAAGTATTTCTTGACAATATCTGTTTTACCTGGTCCTTCTCCTTTTTTATAATACAAAAGAACAAACCACAAAATCTGTCCATTATCTTCACTTTATTGCCCCACAATACTTGCTCTCATTTATCCTGATATCTGCTGTCATCCCCCCCTTAATCTGTTTTTATATGACAACTATTATTTTAACTTTGCTGGGCCCATTGATATCAAAGTCTGTCAATTTGGGTTGTGGAGTTTTTAATTAATGTACCGGTTGAATCATGAGCTTAAAATAAGCATTGCTGCTCCCTCCCTAGCAGTTTTGAATAATCTACTGCTCTCCTTGCTCCAGAGACTAAAAGAGAGGGAGGAGGAAAGAAAATCTCTGCAGTTAAATTTTATTTCCATATCAAGGAAGTACCAACATGTTTTTTTAAAATACAAAATCTGATCTTTCAGTTCATGTTTTGTTAACTGAGTTTCACTTTATCAACAAGCCTTTAGAACCAGGCGTGGAACATCTGTCTGAGGCTTTAACATTTGCTAGGCGGGGTTTGAAATTCTCAGTCACCTAAAGCTGGAGCTGGAGAGGCATATTGGCTTTTATTTTTAGATGTAGCCTGTGAATAATAACGATAATAAAAACCCTCAAACAACCAATAAATGTAATGTACTTTATTCCAATTTCAGAATTTTCATTGGGGGAAGGAGCAGATATAGTGGAAGGGCAAGAGCCAGGGTACTGGGAGGTGGAAGTCTTGATTGATCTTTGCTTCTGTGGCTGTGCCCTGGAGGCAAGATATTGATTTGCTCTGGTTCTCTGTGTGTTAGAAGGTAAGGCAGGTGAAGTAGGTGATATCAGACATTCTCTGTGGGTTTTTTTTCCTTCTGCTCTATAGTTCTACCAGTCACTAACCACTACCCAAAGCACTCGAATTCAGATTGATATTTCTTTGCTAGAACTTCCAGAACATCAGAGCGAATGTCCTATATTCACAGGAAAGCTAAACAGATCAACAGATGGCGTTTTACAGGATCCATTTCGATGGATGTAGCAAAAGATGACTACTCACATGCTTTTCTGCTATTTGCAGAAGAGGTTTGCGTGCCGCAGGGTAGGGAAAGGAAAAGGAAGTGACCATGCTTGCTGATTTATCTCTTCTCACCAACGCTTTCAGTGCATTGAAACTCCAAACCACTGCCAGCCAGTCCACTCTGACTCATAGTGCCCGACGGGTGTACCAAAGATGTGCCAAAAGGTGCACAAACACAGAAGAGAGGCTTGATTACGTGAAGAAAACGGCGCAAGAATATGCAAACAAAATGCATGGTCTCTCTCATTGGTGCTAAGACTTGTCTTTTACGAGTTCTCTGCATTTTGTAATGTTATCATCCATTCTCTCTGTGGGGGTAGGAAAGCAACGGCTGCTGCCTCTGCAGATGTTCGCATTACAGGCAGCGGGTCTAGGTGGCACCTTGGTAGGCGCCGTGGGGAAGTAAAAACAAAAAGAACTGTTGTTGCAGGCCCTAAGGTTTCCAGGGGAGCCCAGAAACTGGCATGATCTTCTCTCGGCCCTTTCCTCATTGCTGCTTTATTACAAGACCCAGATTTACCCCAAACATCCAACCTGCACTTGGACTGTGATGGAATGACAGTGCCCGCCTGTGAGAGTGTGTGCCTGTGAGAGAACTCAGTAAGAGGTAGCAGGTAAAATCCCATGCACCCGGAAGCCCTCCCTGAGTGCCAGCAGCAGCAGCCACTCCCTCTCATCTCTGCCAAGAGCCTGCTACTGGAGTTTCCTTTGTCTTTAGCCTTCCCATCAACCTGAGAGGGAAAAAAACAAACAAAACACATTGCCTTGATGGAAGAGAGGTAGGACCAAAGAGGAAGAGGAAGACAGGGCCAGTGTGAGCCTGCTGTGCACCAGGCAATATATGTGTGTCTATCTATACCTGTTACACGAAAGGCCAGCCTCTCAAAGAACTGTGGTCATTCTCGGCTGCCACCCTCATCTCCTCTCTAGCCCTTAGTATTTGCCCACTGGCTTCTTTTTCCACTGTCGTCCTTTGTTTCTTTTTAAAACTTTATGTTGAGAATTCCAGGAGTCCACTCTCAGCCCTAAATGTCATTAGTCTCTTTGCAGCTTACAAGCCATGATCTTTCTGTATTTCTTGCAGCTCCCTCCTCCCTCTGCCGTTGGGTCATACTCATTTCTTGGCCATCTTCCTGTACCCCCTAGAGGTAGAGGTCTGTACTAGTTCTGCGCTTCTTGCTGCCCCACCTGACTCAGGGTTCCCTCCCAGACCTGGCTGACCCCTTTCTCCTGCTTCAGCTGCTAGCAGGTCTTTGTACCTATTGATGGCAGCCAGCCTGTGTGGCCTTGGAGGTGTAGCACATTGTCCTCAAGTACTGTATTATTTAGTCCTCACAGTACCTTGGCACCTCGACCCTTAAACAGAGTGCAGGCCCTGGGGCCAGGCTTTGTGTCCTTTAATGGCTTCATACTACAAGGCTGTATAACCTGTGATCAAGTGCCTTTGTGGATTCATCTTTAAAACTGACAGCACAATAGCCCTTACCTTCAAGAACTGCTATGCAGATTAAATTAATTAAACACTTCAAGTTATTCAGGGTACACAGTGAATTCTCCAGAAATATTGGTTGTCTGTAGGATTGCTCCTTGCAGATTCACCCTGTCACCTTGACCTGGTGTGCCCAATCCACGGACACTGCTGTCCACACAGGACTCCCTGTTCAAGCTGAAATGCTGTCTGTCCCCTGTTCCAGCCCTTGGTCCATTCCATTTTCCCCTCCCCTAATCTTTACATGCTTAAATACCACTAAGCTTTGAGACCCAGTTCAAATACTTGGGTCTTCAGGAGCTGTTTCTTCATTTTGATTTTCAGCCTTTTCTGGTGATATAATGGTTACACATTGGGCTGTGACCCACAAGGTCAGCAGTTTGAAACCAATAGTTCCTTGGGAGAAAGACAGGGTTTTCTACTATTGCAGTCTTAGAAACCGACAAGGGCAGTTCTACCCTGTCTTACAGTGTCGCTGTGAGTCAGCATCAACTCAGTCAGTGGTAGTGAGAGTTTGCAGTTGGCTATGGTGTCCCGCAGCTCTTGAACCCTCTCACATTCTGTGTTGTGTTGTGGTGATTCTGGGACATAGCTTCCCTCCTCACTCAGGCTTGGTTTCCACAAAATGACAGGAGCCTTAAGGATAGACTTACTCAGTATGCATCATAGTTAAAGATCTTGAAGAGTAGGAGATGGGATGGTGCTGAGTGGATGGGAGGCAGGAGGAACATGCACTGTGGAGAGGTGGGGTGATGAGATCGGGGATGCAACAGGGGCACTAGTGGGACATGACCGGGAGCTGGGCTGGATGGACTGAGGGTTTGAGTTGTGGACTTGATTTGGAGGGGAGATGAGATTGGATAAGCATTACTCATCTTTGCTTCAGGGGAGTGTTGAGTGCTGGCATGTGATGAAAAAGTGATTTTTACTGTAGTCCATGCTGTTCTTTTAAGTAAAATTATGTTTTTCAAGCAAGGGGATGGATGATCTGCCTAAGTTAATGTTCTGGTTAATACTCTGTTGTTGTTGTTCATTGCTTTCAATTTGATTCTGACTCGGGAGCTTCAAGTATACAGAGGAGAACTGCACCCCCAGAGAATGTTCAAGGAAATAGATCACCAGGGTTTTCTTCTGATGTGTCTTTGATTCGATTTTAAACAT